ATATGCTTCGTAACTTTTCAAATTCTTAGTGAAAAGTTGGTTTCTGTTTATATATGTGTATATATATATCGAAAGAAATAATGAGTGATAGGTAGTTTCAATTTCTCTCCACCATCGATTCTATCATGAAATTTGAGTGGTCACTGTCCAGGAGCACCACTACTTCCCATGTCTTGATGGTCTCCAAGAGTTTCATGGTGTGCGGAGAATTTAACCCCCACAACAGTGTTCATAGAAACTCAGCCAATTCTTCCACACCCCCCCCCCCCCGGTTCATCTCTTTCTCCCTCTTTTTCCTCTAAATCTCTACCCCCCTCTCTTCCATCCTCCCAAACGTGCACCATTACTACTTCTACTTTCATTTGCAACTTCTTTTATTTTATTTTATTTTTTTATTTTTTTATTTTTTTGCTCTGGGGTCCAAGCACATGCTTTGCATTGCACTGCAAGCATGATCCTTTTCCATCTTTGCCTTGATCTGTTATTACATAAGTCACCAGAATGGAAGATCATGTCTTCCTCGTTATTGGGCTGCTCTGCCCCCATGAGTGGTTACCATACCATGGTGGTTCACGCTGTCCGATTCATAACTTATTTTGACACGCGTTGTACTACCGATGACTCAATCGACGTTGTGTTCCTCAAGGCTTTATACTCTTTGAACAGTGAGACAGTTCTATCAACTGGGGCAAAACCCACAAGTTGCAACACCTGCAATTTTGCTCGTATTTCCAACTTGAGATTGTTTAAAAATTGTCATTTAGGATCTCCTCATTCCCCGACTTAGTTGCTAGTTTTTCGAATTTTCTCCAATTCCTTCCTAGGAGCTAGTGTTGTACCAACATGTGTGTCGGAACCTGGCCAATAGCAGCATTTTAAACTAGCACATTTCCTCCCAAAACAAAGAGGAAAGGCAGTAATAGATCTCCAATCTTAAACGTCTGGAGGCTAAAATCTTCTCTTTGATGTACCACTGACAAAGATGGAAAATAAGCAATAAGCTTGAGAAGTGTGAAAATAATTTATTTCAAAACATGGCTGCTTCTAGTTTCCTTTCCTATGTTTGATAAAGATTACTCTAAAGATCGCTTTCTAGAAAATGGGAGTAGATATTGTGTGTATTTTATTTGTTTTTAAACTGATTCTGGCCTTCATTTTTTGCAGGTACTATGAAGAAAATTTAACAACACTTGGTCTGAGTGAAACAGAATTTGAGAATACTTCAACCTCTTGTGGTAGAATCATACTCGAAGCAGAAAAGGTTAGAATTAACGAAGTTAGGTCGTAACCGATATTTATCTTCCATCTCTTGATATTATTTCAATATATTTAAGGTCAATTTCTTTTTTTCTCAAACAATTTTTTTTTTTAAGAAAAGAAAAAAAGTTGAGCAAGTTTGTTGTTTTCAAGGTTTATGGACGGCATACATTCTTTTTACATCGATATTATTTATTTTTTCTTCTATGTAACCTTTGTTTCTATCTTAAACGTTCCTTATTTTTTTCACCCATTAAATATTTGTTTAACTTGCAGGTGTCGTTGCAAAAAGAAACCATAGTTCCCAAACAAAACCTTCCCCCATTGCTTGTTCCTGTTTCTGAACGTTTACCTGAAAAGATTGATTACATTGGTGCTTCATTTGGACTTACAACCGAGTTATTTGGCTTTTGGAAGAAACTCGAGTTCCTTCCCTTTTATGTTTGTCAGAATCCAGTTACGACTCGAATCGCCTTTATATTTCTTATATAGTTTTATATTTGTGTTCGCCATTCATTGTTGCTATTTTCTATTTTTCCTGTTTTTGTTGATATCAACTTTTAATGCATGTAGAATGATGTGACCGGGGAGTGTCGTTGTATGGTGCTCAAGCGATTAAATACAGACCAAATTGAATACTGTTGTTCTCAACCACAAGAGTTCACCACTGCATTTTACAAACGTGAGTGTTTTGGTTGTTGGATGTTTTTTCTTGATTTGGTTTGAAGTTGTATATATTATTATGTAATATTGACTTGTAGGTTTTAGAAGCAAGTTCATCCGCGATATTCCTCATTTCTTTCGAGATCTCGACTACAAGCTTGTTTTAAGGTATGTGAACAAGGGTTGCTTAATTGGCACACATCTTCTTTTGCTATCATATACTTATTGTATTTTCACCTCTTTAGCATATTGGATTCAAAGATTAGTCTCTCTTGTGATGAATCTGAGTCTATGGAAACAGAAAGCTCAAAATCACTTATTGACCTTGCTGATTTTGACCAACTGGAAGCATACATAAATGATTATATTGATTACAAAGAGGTGAGTGTCAAACTTGTGTAGAGTTTTTTTTTATCTTCTAATTGTCATTCTTGGAACTTTGTAGGAAGAAAAATATTGAAATATTTTGCAAAGTAAAAATGAGTTTCGCGTATGTTCTAGTTCAAGTACTTTTTATTGCGCTTAAACTATAGGAGTTGTGCTCACTTGAAAGCTACTTTTGGGATAATCTTCTCTCAGTTTTTTGTTTCAAGTGTTTTTAGACAAATCTAATTTTCAAAAGTATTTTTATTTTATTATTTTAAATACTCTAGATTTTTTAAAAAGCACTTTTAGTCGTCTAAACACTTAAGAAGCGGCGAGAAACACACTCCAAATAAGTAATTTTTTCTGAAGTGCTAATAGAATTAATATTTTTATTTAAAAGAGATGTTTTTCTTAATTGTTCCAAAAACACTTCAATACTCTTATTTTGTCCTCTGTAAGTCCAGAGGATCTTCAAGAAGCGAAATTGATTTATTATTTTCTTCAACTTTGCAGGTCTTCCATGTTGCAACTACCCTTGCTCAAAACTTCTTCAATAAAAAACTTGTAGTATCGTTATCTGATGTTGAAGCTTCCATTTTATTATGCATCGGCTTGCAACTCAAAGATATATCAAGTCTTGAGGTTTGAGTTTCCAACTTTGATAACAGTTCTTGGTTTGCTGAATCAATATTGAAACATGTGTGTGCACGTGCCACGTTTGCATTATATGAGCTGATTGGTTTTCGTGTCGTGCTTTTACTATCTCAACAGGATAGTTTGAAGTTGGGAAGGTCGCATATCATGTCGAAATTCAACAAACTAATGAAGAAGTTCTATGAGCATTTGAGAGCTGGATTCATGAAGGAGATTAGTTCAAGTTTTCCTCAAGATAGGGAGGTAAGGCCGAACTGTTGAATTTCGCTTACTTTTGAAGCATATGTACTAATCACTTTAAAGTTACTTTTTGGACAAAAACATCTTGTTTTGTTTCTTGTTTCTTGAAAAGAGGAAGTTTTAATCTTGTTTCTTGAAAAGAGGAAGTTTTAAAACTAATATGATTTTCTACCAATGTTTTTTATTTATTATCAAACACTATATACTTTTTAAAAACTATTCTAGTCTTTAGAAGCTAAGCTATACTAAACCCACACTCAATGAGTAATTCTTCATAAGTATCTATATAAAAGGTATTTTTATTTAAAAAGCACTTTTTTTTAAAGTCATTCCAAACACACGTATTTGCATAACCAAAACCATTTTAGCTATTCTCTAAAATCATAGTCCGGTGATAAAATCATTTCCATTTAAAATAGTCATGTTTTACAATGATATACAAGTGATTTGAGAAAATGGCAAAAGTGATTTTGACTATAAAAAAATCACTTCCAAACATGCCAATGTACAAAATCTCATCATCTTAAAATCATCAGGTAACAATGAATCCACATGATATTTCAGTTGATACTGACCTCAATGATGGAGCCAGATTAGTATATGTAAGTACAGCAATTTACCATGTCAATGGTTTAAAATCCCTTGTAGAATTTTGTTGTTCTTTTTTTCTCTCTCTAATTTTTATAAATGATTATCAGAAATCAATGTTAGATGAAAGTGGGGAATGGCAAAAATATTCCATTGGAAACAGAGAGAGTGAATTTGAGCAGTCTCTCAAAAAATGCAGATTATCATCACCAAGTGGCCTTATTAGTGTCAAGTCATCATCCAATTCCAATAGGCAATATGGAAAGCAAGATAGTTCCATAAATAGTTACAAGAGAAAAAGAAAGCATTTCTAAAGTTTTGTAGAAGAATTGATCTCCCTACCCTTTTTTTTTCACATTTCTAAACTATTTTTAATTATGATACTTGGATTTGCTAATGTCAGCCCTTATTCATGTTAGCCCTTGTTCATTTCTTGTGACTCATTATGAAGTTTTATGTGGTCATAAATTCATAATATCAGTTATCATCTCATCTAAACTTATTTCAATTTAATTTGTACACCTGTATTATTAAAAGTGACAACTATTGTATTCATTTGTATACAACGAGATTACTCTAATAACATTAAAAAAATGTGGAAAAAATCATTCTAATATATACACAAATAAAGCATACAAAGTTAGTTGTCAACTTAAGTGCAATTAAATTAGGTAATACATAATCAGGTTAGAGTTTGAAATCCTCATTCTAGCCTCGGTTTGAAATTAATTTAAAAATCAAATTTTCAAACTTCTGTAGTTTATTTGGCTCATACTAGAGGGTGTTCGAACACGATGGATGAGGCCCTTCTCCATCCTCATTCTAAGATAAGGGTCGTTTTGTGGTGGGCAAGCTTGGACCTCTGTATCCAAAGCTTTTTGTAATTACTCCTTGGTTCGGATCTTGCTTGAGCGGAACTTGTTCCTTTAGTTTAGATCTTTTTGGGCTATCTTTTTATATGCCCTCTTATTTCTTTTTTTTTTCTTTTTTTTCTTTTGATATCCATGCGTCTGGATCAGTTTACACGCACTTCAACTAATCGTAGACCAACCGCCTCTCCGTGCTACATTGGGGGGCCACCTTGGTTTGAACACATTACTCTAAGTCTTTTGCTATTTAGATTGGCTCTTACCGGGATGGTTTTATTTCTCTTTTATTTATCTTAATGAAAGCTCAAATCTTCAAAAAATAAAAATTAATGTTAGTCACAAAACATTTTCCAACAAAACCGGAAAATATAAGTGGGCTAACTGTAATAACTACGGGAGAAAATATGTCCACAAATTCAGACGTCACTTATAAACAGAGAATTGTTGGACAGAGCTTGAGAAAAAACATCCTATTAGTTTCCTACATTCTACCATTACATATTCACTCTTAAATCATTCCCAAAAGAAAACAATCTCACACGGTTACCCAAAAAAAAAAGGTTCCATTTGTACAAATTTGTAGAGAGATGCTATTAGTTTCCGAGTATTATTCTTCCCCTTTTTCCAATAGAGGTCTCATATCCAAACATTTGCAGATGTGCAGTCTTTCATAGTGGTATCTATAATGATGTCCAAAAAGAAAGGTTAATCGGCTAAAAAATCAAAACTCTTCTTTCTTCTCATCTTCTTTGATTCCCTTCAAAGATCTCCTCTTCTACTGATAATGGCATAAAGTTGCTTAGCAGTCCCATGGCAATCACAAGTAATCTGCATTCTGCGTCACAAAAGGGCATTGTAGGTTGGCAATTTGGCTAAATGTATTTGATGCACCATGAATAAAAGTGTTCACATATTAACTCATGGTTCTCTCTATCACCCCCCCCCCCCCAAACCTGGTAGGGGTCGGTTTTTGTGGCAGACGAGTTTCTTAACTATTCTATGGTATTTGTGGACCGAGAGAAATAACAGGAAAATCCAGGTTGAGAGATCTTGAGAGGACGTGTGAGCCCTTGATCGGTTTCATATTTCCTGTTGGGCTTTAGGGTCCAAAGGTTTTTGTAATTACTCAAACTTGATATTGCTAGATTTGAGCCCGTTATTTTAGTTTGGTTCATTTTATTGGGCTTTTCTTTTATGCCTTCTGTTTTCTTTCATTTTTCTCCATGAAAGCTCAACTTATCATAAATTATAAAAATAATAAAATAATAAAAAAACCTCACCATTCTCTCTACAAATTCAAGCATATCACAGAAAATAAGACACCAATTACCTTCAAAGTTCGATATCCCGCCCCACATTTGTTGAAATGTGAGTTAAAACAAACAAAAAAACTCATGGCTCTCTCCCTCTCTCTTCCCCCACCCATCTATGATCTCTAATTCTGCCTCAACTAGTTCTTTAACTTCCCAAAAACTAATATGATGTCCCTAAAAATAAGGTGGTCAGTCTCTAATTATCTATTTTACAATGAATTGTCGTAATATATGGCAGGTGTAACTGTAACTTGTAAGACTGAAGATGTCTTATGTGAATTTGCACAATTTTCTGGATTGAGCATATCAGCAGAACCATTGAAACTGAGATCATGAGTTGATCGATGAGACGGTTCCTTGCAATTTATAAATTGATGGCAACCATCCTTGTCTGAGTGTATTTAAGGTACCTAAGGCACATAACTACATGTAACCCAGATCCATATCCTTCTACATGACTGGTTTATTATGTGCGAACATGCATTCGGTAATGTCTACGAGGAATAAAAAATGGTGCTCTGAAGCAATAGGTAGAACCAACAAGACTAAATGAGGAGGATTTTCTTTTAAAGAAATACTAAAAGGACCAAAAATATACTAAATAAATGTTCCAAAGAAATCTGCTTCGCAAACAGAATATGTCTCATGCAACATGTATGTATTGAATAACAAGATTAACAACCAAAAAAAAAAAGAAAAAAACAGAGCAAGAGAGAGAGAGAAACCTGCGATTTTTGCTGAGATTGGGCAGACAAGTTGAAGCAAGAATCTTGTGCTCAAGTAGCATACTGTGTTGCAAGCTAATATCATTTCATATAATAGCAAGAATAAGGGGGGAAATTAATTTGTAATAATTCAGAAATTGAAAAGAATCAGCTTTTAGGAAGCTACTAATTCGCACATTCCATGTTAAGATAATCAAATCTACCAACATTTAATTGTTCATTCAAAAGTTCGAACAAAACTGATTACAATGCCAATATCATAAAACTGACGCAAAAAATGCTGAAATTTCAAAACAAAACATTCCTCAAGAGTGTGTCATCATCGTTTTCTTTCTTCTCTTTTGACGAGAAACAAAGTATTTCAAAGAAATATACTGGAAATTACCAAAGGAGCTACCAAAGAAGATCTCCAAATAGGTCATCAATCAGCATATCCAACAAAGAATAATTACAAAAGGTTTTATATTCTAAACAGTAAGCACCAAGACAGGGCAATAACATCCCAAATCTGATCTAGGCTTTTTTCTACTTCTCGGTGAAGAAATTTTAAGAGGTTTGTTTTCAATACAATCACAAACAGAAGATTTGAGCACAATTATCCATTCTAACATTAGAAAAGTTAATAGGAACTGCTATTAATGCTAGTTGAGAGGAACGAGTGGAAGAGAATTTGAGTGGTAGGAAGAGAGAGTAATGCCATCAGATTTTAACAGCTTTTTTACTAGCAGAGCATGACTATGTTAGTATAATACCCAATATTTTTCTTTACTTTCCCTATACCGTAGATGATGAAATCAAAAAAATAATGACTATCCATATTTCGTTCAGGTTGAGGGAAAT